TTGCAGCAGCACCAATTGTCGTCCAAATCCTACTACTTTTGGTTCCTGGAACACTGTAGCCTCGAGGAGGTGCCTCAAGTCCTGCAATTCAGGTTATTTAGAAAGGACGAACACACACTAATAGCCTGTTTATTTTGAAAAGTGGTTTTTTCAAAAGTACTTTTGATGAGAAGCAGTTTGTGTTTGGCTAATTTGTTTGAAAAACACTTTTGAGCAGCAATTAGTGTTTGACCAAGCTTTTAGAAACTGTTTTTAAGTATATTTTTGCTTCTCCAAAACTGCTTCTGCTTCTATTCAAAAGCACTTTTTTTTTCCTCTACAAGCTTGGCAAAAAACTTCAACTTTAGAAAAAAAGTAAAAAAAAAAAAAAAAAGTGTTTTTCGCTTGGAGAAGCTTGGCCAAACAGGCTATAAGATGTGATCAATTTTATTTTTTCAACTACAAGGTACAACAAAAAGGAATAATTTTCAATGTGTGCATACGTTGAAAATTGTAATGCATTTGACTCAAGAGATTAAGGAAGCAGAGGCATACCGTCTTTAAGAGACAATGCAATCGCTATACAAACGTACACTAGGCTGAAGAATGTTGAAAACCCAAGCCAAACTCTTAAAGCTGACAAATGAGGGATAGCAATTGCGAAAAAAACACAGGCGAACCCAGCTAGTGCAATGAAGTATGGTAGCTTCATCTGATGGTCATCCCTAAAGAGAATATAGAAAGCCTGCCAATCAAGTTATTGAGAATCATGCCATCAGAAGTTTAAACAAAAAATAAAAAAAGTGAGAAATTCTATACAACAACTGTTACGCCTCAGTCCCAAGCATGTTTGGGTCGGTGATATGAATCCTCACTTCTTTCTTTAAGATCCTTTCATATAAAGCAAGAAGAACAAAGCGATGAAACTTGCATTTATACTTGACAGAACACATTTTCTTTTCATGTCATTTATCCTTGTTTTTTCCTCTCACTGGACCAGGAAAGTTAAAAGGGCAGCTCGGTGCACAAAGCATCCCTCGTTCACGCAGGGTCCGGGGAAGGGTCGCACCCCAAGGGTTTGTTATATAGGCATCCTACCCTGAAAAGTTACAGAAGCAAATTACCTTTAACGCCTGTCCGCCCAAAATGACAAATCCAGTATTTATCAAGAAAAGATTTGCATACTGTAACGCCCAAACAAGCGAATAGGCTGTCCGTCCTGCAGCAGCCAAAATCCCATTTTAAGACCAATGGAATCAAAACCAGATAAGTCAGAAAGGAGAAAAACAATTGAAATTGAAATGGAGAACTTGACTATGTAATTTGATAAGTTTTTAGCAATGCGTACCGTATATGAATCCTGCAAGATCTCTATATCTGATATGCCTCTTTCCTCCGTATTCATGGAGCTTAGCGATAAGAGTACTAGCATATAGCGATATAGCTGATGATAAAATTAGACCAACCACACCACCAATCCAACCTAAAGGAACCATGATTATTCCAGCATATCCGAGAGTTAAAGCACTGTTGACACCAGTGCCCAAAACAATTCCCACCTGAAACCATGAGTCTGCAATTTGCACAACAGGTGAAATGAGCACAGATAAATAATAAATTAGGTCATAGCTTACAGATATTAAATTATACAATTCTCTTCGTTCTTTTAGTACACCTATCAAGGGGATTATGGCATTCAGAGTTTTGCAACGAGCTAAACTTTAGGAAACAACAGGACTCGAATTCAGGGCAGCCCGGTGCACAAAGCATCCCGCGTTCACACAAGGTCCGGGGAAGGGCTGCACCCCAAGGGGCTGTTATGTAGGCAGCCTACCCTGATGCAAGCATCAGTAGCTGATTTACAGCTCGATCCCGTGACTTATACGTCACACAAAGACAACTTGACCAGTGCTCCAAGGTTCCCCTTCAGGACTCGAATTCAGCAAACAGAATTATTTAGTACCTCACAAACATCAGAAACTACAAGACCAGTGCTGATCGCATGGGTAATGATAACACTATATTTGTAAAATTAGTAGCTACTACACCATATTGCTGTATTTTAAAAATGTATTCCCTTTGACCTCGGTTATGCGACATAACTAGGCAACACAGAGGTCATTGACTAGATTTTTTATCAAAAGACTTCTTAACTGAAGAAAAAAGAGATACATTTGAAATTAAGAATGTTAGGCTTAAAACAGTAATCAAGACACTAAGCTAGCTCATGTACATCTTCAAGAGGCTAAAACATCAACTTCTTCAAAATTGCTAAGGTTCTATAACAGCCATGTGAAGTAGCTACTTTTGGCGCCATAATATTCATAAGATTTTCATTACTCCCTGTGAACAACTCTAATGTAAAGAACCTCCCAAACAACGTTACTTGTTTCATTGCAAACTTAGTACATATATGTATATTTCCTCTGTCCCATTTTATGTAACGGTTTTCTTTTTAGTCTGTCGCGAAAAAAGACACATTTCTTTACTCATAAATAGTTTATCTTTAAACTTCCCATTTTACCTTGAATAAGATTATTTATAACCACACAAATAGCTACGACTTGTTTTGACTGCAAATTTCTATGTGGCAGAAGGAGTATTTTTTAGTATCAATGGTTGCGCTCAGTGGCGGAGTTAGGATTTTCAACCATGGCGATTCAAAAAATAAAATAAAAAGTAAATACGCGAATAAGCCAAGGGGATTCATCATCTAACATACATGAAGGGCAACCCGGTGCACTAAGCTCCAGCTATGAGCAGGGTCCACGGAAGGGCCGTACCACAAGGGTGCCTTACCCTGCATTTCTGCAAGAGACTATTTCCACAGCTCGAACGGATGACCTCCTGGTCACATGGCATCAACTTTACCAGTAACGCCAAGGCTCCCCTTCATCATCTAACATACATATACATAATAAACAAATTGACCTTATATACACAGTACAATTTTCTGGTGAAGGGGGTTCGGATGAACCCCTTCCACCCCCTAGCTTCACCCCTGGCTGCGCTCACACATTTTGTACATAATCTAGCATAAATAGAGCATGAAACCCAAATTGGGAATTTAAAGAACAAGGGAGGAAATATAAATTTACAGCATATACAGAAAAAGAGAAAGAGACCATTACTAACTTGGTGAGCAGTATTAGGAATATCCATAGCCAATAATTTGTTATCAGTATGAATTTTTGGGAGAAGGGGTTGGTCCAATGAAATCTTTGACATCTTTCACAGAATCAGAAAGGCTAAGAGCAAAGCAAAATACACTTTACTCTATAGCCTGTTTTACTTTGGCACCTCTCCTCCTTCCTCTGTATTCTTTGAATTCTGCACAGATATAATAAGTTTCTATATTTTGCAGATATATTTTGGAGTGCAACTGTCCCACTTGTTTGTCCCATGATTGGCTAGTAATGGGTGCTTTGTTATGTCGTTATCTTTCACTTTTTCAGTTATTTTGTTTGGGTTAGTATTAAAGATTCGTTCACAGAAAGAAGACAATCTGATATCAATTTATTGGGGGTGGCAACAAATATCTCGTTTGCTCCCGTGGGACACGCTTTCTTTATTAGTTCGTTCGAAAAAATGACACACTTCTACGTAACTTAGGCTTCCTATTTTAATTTTAATGAGAAGTTTTATAGATACAGAGATGTTATGGTAGATTAAAACAATAAATTTCAAAAGTTTTTATTTTTTTCCTTCAAATTTCATATTGAGTAAAATTATGTTACTTTAATTAACACAGAGTGATCAATACATTGGAGAATACTTTTGAAAAAAACAATACTTATATATTCCAGCCGGAAAACATTTTAGTTATGATTCACAATAAAAAACCTTAATAGAAAATTCAACTACTATTTCCCATGTCACTATTGATAAACTGATGGTAACATCTCACCTAACCATTTCACCTGGAGAATAAGAATTCATTTTCTTTTCCCACTTTTAACATGTATTTTATTTTAAGCTGTAAAAGAAAGTGTTTAAAAATACATCTTTTTTCTGTGTTCAAAAAACAGTAGTAACAACTAACAACAATTGATAAATTACCACCATGGGATATGGAGGGATGGTTGTGATCCCTCCGCTCTTAATCAGAAATCTCGAGTTCGAGCATGAAGAATGGAGAAGCTCTCAGGAGAGAGCGCTTTCCCTTTAATAGATTCTACACGGTGCGAATCTGAATTAATCGGGCAAACGGGTTCCAAATACCAACTTATAATGCCAAATGATTTGCTGAGTACAACTTGTTGGGAGGAGTGCTGCAAACAACGACGTCATTGTTGCTGTGACCATCTTGTCCCATTTTCTCACTTATGCTTAACTTCTTATTTTTAGGACAACTATTTATAGGGAAAATCACTACTTTCCTAACATATATGATAAAAATATTTCCTTTTTATGAATTCTCAAAGGGAATGGTCTGAGCTTAAGCATTTATACTTGCAGCCTGGATGTGGTTTTGAAAATTAAGATGCTATGATAAAGTAAAAAAAGATATTAATCATGAGTTTATTTTTTCTGGCAAAGAGCATATGTACTAATCTATTGTGCTGGTTTACATTAGAATTGTCTTTTCTATGACTACAAGAAGCAAATGGAAGTTTGACAATTGACACACTTATACAAACAAAGATGCAATAACTGTGAGATGAGGAGACAACCTGTCTTGACGATAACCCGGTGCACTAAGCTCCCACTATGCGCGGGGGTCCGGAGAAGGCCCGGACCACAAAGGTCTACTGTACGCAGCCTTACCCTGCATTTCTACAAGAGTCTGTTTCCATGACAACATGTCTTGAGATTATATAAAAAAGACCCTAGGTGTAACACATGAAGTCACTTTGCACATTTTCATCAAAGAGGCATAAAATAGAAAATCAGAATTGATGAAAGTTACCTAACAACTCAGTTAATTACAGAAATTGACTATTGACAACATATTGTTAGTTGTGAAACAAGGAACAAGCAATCTATAATGAAGATATTGGTAGGGGGTAGGGACTAAGTACTGAAGAACATGATTTAATTCCTTTACACATTTCATCCAAATCTGAATCTGTTTTACAATATCCTTCATCCAATATACAGTACAAACATATACCTCACTGAGGCCAAGAATTGAGAAACTTGACATAAATTTGAATGCCATTAAAATAACATGAGGGACATTCCCCTCCAAATAATGGCTTAAAAAACTACAAATCAGCATACGCGTGGTAAGTTTTCGAGTCCACTGCTATAAGCCTGAATGCAGCTACTAATGCAGCAGCAGATATGACACTAAACAAGACAACATTAAGCAAATGCCAACTCCTTTGTAACAGCGACAGTTGCTTTTTCATGGCAATAAGATACATGTGATTCGGAAGAATAAACGTGAGTGGAATCGAGCTGATAGCACCAGTAAGACTCATGAAATCTCCCAAGAAAGGTAACAGAGCAGATAGGAAAGTAGTAACCGCTAGATAACCACCTCTAACTAGAGTTCTAAACGCCAGGTTCCGAACAGCAACTGCACTTCCTTTAATCCCGTATTTTGTATCCAAGAATTCATATGTTGGACTCGCAAATATCTACAATAGGCAAAATTAAGGCAATGTAGCATGAGAATGGAGCAATAATACTATAGTGAGTTGATTTCTTTAAATGGTGTAGTACTCATTTACGCGAGCGTAAAAGTTCTTTTATACTACAAGTAATGTATGTTAGACTTGTCGAAAATAAGATTCCGGAAAAGTAAACAAGAAACAGAAATGTAGAAGAAGCAAAAGATTAGTCCGAGCCTATTGAATCATAGTGTTTCCATGAACTTAATCTCCTCCTAGTACCCGATGTTTAGGATTATTGACCACCGAACTCAAAGATCGATAGCACAGAAGGATAATTCAGAATTTTCGTAAGGAAAATCTGACCAAATCTGAAGCCGAGCCGAGCGACGATGACGCTGAAGCGGGGTTTGACTTCTTCTCAACTCTTTAAGAGCTAGAAGAAGTGCAATTATATGTATACTGTTAGTAGACTGTATTTGTAAAATAATTCTGGAAATATAAATGAGTATAAACAGAAATGAACATAAACAGAAATGACATAAAACCAATTCGAGCCCACTGAATTCACAGTGTTTCCTTAAGGAATTTAATCCCCTCCTAGTACCCAAGGTTATGGATTATTTCCTCCCAGGATAGAACGAATTACACTCTGGTGTAGTGGTACTTCAAACCCCAGTGTTTCAGCGAACACAAAGTTCGGTAGCAAATCACACTTACTTTTTGCTTTGTTTGATGCTAAAAGTATGCAGAAGAAGGAGAAGAAACTCAGAAAATCGTAGTGAAATTCTGAGCAGAATAGTGTTGTATTTATAGCCAAAGTTAGGCTGAAATCTGAAGAGGTGCAACTCTTCAGAATGGCTGTTTATGCAAAACGCCCACAGCATAAATGCCATTACATAAATGGCCATTTACTCAATAATAAAGAGGGAAAATAAAGAGGAAAAATTGAAGAGGGTAGTTACTTTTCTGTTACCAAAACAGAAAAACGGATTGGATTTAATATTAATATTTTGTTATTAAAACAAATATTTAATAACATTTCTGTTAATATTTTACTATTAACAAATAAGCCGAAGCCGAAGCCGAAGCCGAAGCCGAAGCCGAAGCCGAGCGAGCGACGACGACGGCGCGAGGCTTGCCTTCTTCTCAACTCTTTAAGAGCTAGAAGAAGAGCAATTGCTTATATACCCATAAAAAACCTCTTCCTCTTCCAATACGGGACAATGCCCATTTGCCAAGGGGGGAACTTAAAATTTCACTAAAAAATTTTATTTCCCTCCATTTCCCATTCACCCTCTTTTAAGTATTTAATATATTAATTAAACACATCCAAAACCCAACATATACACCCAACAAATGAGTTTTTGCTCCTCTAATATGGGACAGTATTCCTTTGTAGAGGAGGGAAATTAAATTTTTTTTCCATCCATTTCCCTTTCACGCTATTTTTGAACTAAAACCCCGACACTGTATAGAAGTTAAACTCAATACGATAGGATGAAAGTGGAAAGATTATTACATGTAATGCGATGATGGCTTGCAAGAATGCGCTGATGTTAGCCAGTGCCTTAACCCAAACCGGACCGCTGACATTATTGAGCAAATAGGAAGATGAACTCGATCCATATGCCCAATATCCGACGTAAGTAACAGCATGAACAAGCACAGCTCCTAAAGTAAACTGAAAATATAAGGCTTTCAACATGTTGTCAACAACAGGTGCTCTCACTGTAGCCTGTTAAGGAAAAAGATTTTTAAAAAATTAGTCAAGAAAAAGAGGTCATAGACTCGATATACTTCAGTCAATTGCAAATATTTTTGGTACAGAGCTGAGTTTATTAATGACACAAGTGTTAGGATCGAAATACTAAGGTGTCATGTTGAAGCTAGTAAAGTAAACCTTGAACGACGATAAATCAGATAACACAAGAGAAATATATATACTAAAAGAGACACAAACATTTAACATGGCTCGGTCAATTGACCTGTGTCCACTGGCGGAGATGAGCAATCCACTATATAAAAGAGTACAAAATATTGAAGAACAACCTTACACACGCAAAAGAAGGATACTCTCAAACCCCATATGGTATGGATACTACTGAATGAAAAAGTAGAATCCTCAATTTATAGAAGTACAAAAACTATTTCCCCTGAGAAAAAGTATTAGCCAAATATGGAAGAATTATACTTTCTTCACAAGAATATATCGAATTCCAGGTTAGTTACCTGGATCTCTGGAATCATTCCGGTGTTGAATACGAAAACAATATTTGCAGCAGCACCAGCAGTTGTAAAAATTCTGTTTATCTTTGATCCAGGAATGCTATAGTCCCTAGGAGGAGCATTAATACCTGCAAATACGCAGTACTTATAAAGAAATTCACATATCTGGTGTTGTTGTCAGATGTTAAGGAGAGATGCATACCGTCTTTAAGAGCTAAAGCAATGGTTATAGTGAGATAAATTAGACTGAATACTGATGAAATCACAAGCCAAATCCTTAGTGATGACAAGGTGGGAACAGCAATGGCGAATAAAACGCATGCCAATCCAGCAATCGCGATGAAGTATGCTAGTTTCATATGATCATCATCCCTAAAGAGATGATAGAAAGCCTGCAAATCATAAACAAAATTGTTTCAGAATCATGTCTACTAATTAACAGATTTAATAAAAATTAACTTGACAACATATATAGTTGTATCTTCATATTCATTATTTCTACATTGTCTATATAGCTTTCGATCAACCTCCACGTTCACAACCTTTTCTCATTTCTCTTCTTTCTATTTTCATTATCACTACCTTTAGGAATAGCAGGGGAGCTTCGGGAGGAGGTACTGGATATGTGATGCGCAGGACCAGAGAATGATTCAAGATTTAAACCTTATGGGTTAACTTTTAAAGTTTTTAGCATTAATTGATTCCTATATTTTTAAAGTTATGGTACATATAAATTTTTACTTCGGATCGAAAGTTATGTGTTTAATTGAACCCGTCCTTAATACACTACATCTGCCCCTGCACAGGACAAAGAGCAGAATGACGAGGGCGGATCAAGGAGAAGGACTGACAAGCTTATAGGTTGACAAGCTTCCGAAGAAGGAGTACATATGACACCTTAGGCAAATTCCGCATTGATTGAAATTGAGGACAAAGTGAAGTGCTATATAAGACAAATTACAAATCCACACAATATGTGACGGTAAGGTCTATCAGGCTAAAACCCACGATATGTACCATGAGCTTGGACTCTGACTAGAGGTGGAGCTCTGGTTTTGGTAATGGGTTCGGAAGAACCCAATAGCTTTGGCTCAATTCTTGTATTTGTATTAATAATTCACTTAATACGTATAAATAATTTATTCAGAATCTAGTAAGCTGCATTTTCTAAAATTCAAAACCCATAAATTCAAAATTCGAGCTCCGCCTCTCTGACACGATAACAAGCTCACAAATTCTCGGACATAAAGATCTAGAGCAGGAGAAGAGGATAGGGGAATTCATCTTACCTTTAAGGCTTGTCCACCTAAAATGATGAATCCAATATTTATCAAGAAAAGATTTGCATACTGCGATGCCCACACAATTATATAACCCGTCCGACCTGCAATATTACCCAAGTCTCCATTTAACTATAAGTAGAGGAATTAAAATCTAGTAAAGCTTAAGAGAAAAGAAGCGTAGGGTCCAGGGAAGGACCGCACGCCAAGGGGTCTAATGTAGACGGCCTAGTCTAATGCAAGCATTAGTGGCTGCTTCCGAGGCTAGAACCCCTGACCTATAGGTCACAAGTATGCAACTTTCTCTTGTTTACTTGTTCTTACCATACATAAATCCGGCAAGATCTCTATATCTGATATGTCTTTTTCCACCATATTCATGAATCTTGGCAATTAGAGTACTTGCATATAATGATATTATTGTTGATAAAACAAGACCAATAACACCACCAGTCCAACCCAAAGGAACCATAACTGTGCCAGCATATCCTAGAGCATAGGCACTGTTGACACCAGTGCTTAGAACAACTCCCACCTGAAACCATGAATCTACATTTTGCAAAAACAGAAGACACCACACAAACATTATTACAATTAAATAAAAATCGAACAAATAAATATACATTAAGAGATTAAATATTTCTCTTTTTTCTTCTTCAACTTCTAGATCTCAGTGTAACTAATTTTTACACCACCACTTATTACGGTCAGTTACCTATACAATCAGACTTCTCTATACAACTTCATCCGTTCATAACTTTTAGCTGCTAAAGTGAAGTATTGTTATAGAGATCATATATTATAACATAACATAAAAAAATTGGTACCAATTATGAAACTTAGCTGTTAATGAAGTGATGTTATAATCTAAAGATTTTTCAATATTATCAGTTATTTTTAACCTATAATAGCTGGTTAGTTACGATTATATTAGATTATCAATTAATGTTTATCGAGAGTTTTATCTATAATTACCTAATAAGTGACATAAATACTTTTTACATCGTCAAAGACATAGAACTTAAAATCTTGTGATACTATATTTCTCCAAGAATATCCTAAAAGTAAGCCAAAATTCATGAGCATATTCTCTCTCCAAAACTAATAGACCATATTCTTGAGATCATATCCATTCGGAGGGAAAAAGAATAACGCAGTTTGCCAGTTGCAAAGGCAATTGTGGTATGAGCTATTTCCAGGTAAAATATGGCAAAATTTTATCTGTATGACTATGGACCAAACCATATCAACTTACAACAGTTAATTGGTGATTTAATGAGTTAAAGAATATATATTTACTAATCATGGTTAAGTGAGAGAAGTCAATGTGCAAATATATGTTATAAATTTATTGGATTGGTATAAATACCAAATACGAATAAATTTTTACATAAAAATAGTGTACGCATTCAGTATTTATATCAAATTAAGTGATCTAATCATAAAAGTTTATAGTATGAGCTAAAATAATCATTGATTATACAATATAATTACTTAAATAACAGATCAACCACATCTACCTTAAAAATGTAGATTGGTGGCAACACAATGTAGCACAAGACAGTAGCTGGTATTGAAAGAAACTATGCCTCATAAGAGACAAACGGCAGGGGGCTATACTCATGGAGGATGGCAATCAGGAATAGGAAAGTATACAATCCAAAAAGGCTATTACTGGCTGAAGGGAAACCTGGACACATGCCAATGAGGAAGATGAGTCTGGAATAAACAAAACATTCCAAACACTGCTTTATTTGCTGGATGACTATGCAGAAGAAGCTGCTCACAAAGAATAGGCTAGCTCGCAGAGGAATCAGCTCAGATGGCCTATGTGTACTATGTGGAAATGCACCAGAGTCTGTTGAACACTTATTCTATGAGTGTCACTTCCCCAAGCCATGCATCACTGAAACACTCCAGTGGTTAAAATTAGGATCACGAACTTTGAAGGACAGTTCATATGGAAAAGAATAGCCAGGAAAATGTGAGGCAAATTGGGTAGGGAGTTCTCATATGCAGTATTGGCAGCAACTAATTACCATGTATGGAAAGGGAGGAATGAAGCCCTGTGGCAGAATTAAGTTCCTAGATCACATAGAGTATGCGAGCAAATAAAAGAAGAATGCAGAGTTCGAGTGGTGGAGATACTCAGTAAGCGAAAAAGAGACAAGGATAGAAGATGACTAGAAGAAGTATATAGATAGATAGGAGACAGGCGGGACAAATACTTGTACAGAATAGGATAATAGGTAGACTTACTTGGACATAGCTGAGTAAGTACGGGACTTTCTTTATATAGCTAGAAGCTAGAGTTTTTTCCTTCATTGTACTTGTTCTGGAGATGAATAAAAAAAATTTATTCCACCAAAAAAAAATTACTTAAATAACACATGTTTTTATTCATTAATTTAGTACAAAAACAACTATTCTTTTTCTTGTTCTATATCGTGGAAGATAGTGAACAAGTCAGACACCAAAAAGAAAAAGAGAAGGGAAAGTAGAGCCTATAAAATGTGCAGTAGAGAAGCTTTTCTTGTTTTTCCATAGCAAATTTTGTATCTAATTATCTTCCTACGAAGCTTTTAATGCTCAGACATAAGTTTTCAGGCCAAGATTTTTTTAAGTTACGTGAATAATTTTTTTTTACCTATCTATGCTACATATGAAACTTATTTACCTCCCTAATCAAGTTTTAACTTAATTATATGGGCATATACAATTTACCAATTATATACAAATTAGTATTAGTGAGTATCCCTTTATATTAAAAATAGAATAGGAATCAGTTATTTCCCATCCCTACTCTCTCTCTCTCTCTCTCTCTCTCTCTCTTCATCTCTCTTTCTCTTCTTCTCTGTTCTCTCCCTAATTTTTCTTCCTTTGTTTTACTCTGCTTGTTATCCTCTCTCTCTCTCTTTTTTTTTTCTTCAGGAGAGTTTTAACTTAACAATTTCCTTTCATGTTGCACAATGGTGTTCGAATTAAAATTATTAATCAACAAATTTTGAAGGTGTTTGACTCTCCACCATTGACAACCATTAAAAAACTTCGAAGCTTTGAATTCGAATTTGGGTTTTCAAAAATATTATTTGTTTGGATTGAGTGTTGTTGCAAATGATTGAGAATATTCTATGGAGTTTATATCTCGATTTTGAGGGTATTTGGTGAAGATCAGATTTGATTTGGCTGGATTTTCAGATTGAAATTCGAAGAAGAACACACCACATACAAAATATATACAAATCATATACAAAATATATACAAAAAACATATTGTATAAAATTTGTAAGAAATTTGTATTTGAGTTGTCTGATGTTGTAGTTGTATTTAATTGGGTAAGAATGATGTATGAAAGTTGTAGATAAGTTGTATATTGTATAATTAGTTGTATGAAATTTGTTTTTAGTATGTACGTTGTTGTAGATATATCAAATTTTGTCTTAAATTTGTATGAAATTTATTTTTAATATGTATGCTGCTGTACCATACATTATTCTTTTCTAAGTAATTATGGCAAAGAGAGAGAAAGTTGCGCTAATTATGACTTAAAATAGGTAATACACAACTAGAAGGAGTCTTATTTAGATGGAAGGACAATTTGGACTTCGTTCCCTTCAGTTATGCCCTTTTCCAAGCAAAGAATCTCCTAATTTAATGCATTAATAATAGACTGTATATAAATTGTAAGAAAAACTTGTTTAGTACGGATAATATACAAAATTTAGATAATTTTGATAAATAAGTTTCAAATATTGTATAGGAAAAAAACTTGCCATTACTTCGAACAATAGAGCCCAAACGTGTAGTACCTTCGGTATATTATCTATCTTTTAGAATTGATAATCTTAATTATAAAGGTATTTGTCTAAATTATCATTAGAGCCCGGTTGGACATAAAAAAAAATTTACTTTTTTTCGAAATTAGTGTTTTGTCTTAAAATTTTCAATTTTCACTTGAAGATGAATTTTAAAATTTTTCAAAAATTTGAAAAACTCCAAAAAGCTGTTTTCAAAATTTTCACTCAGATTACTCACAAAACTTCAAAAACAATCCAAAATTATATTCATGTTCAAATACAACACTAATTTTCAAATACCATTTTCACTTGAAAATTTTTTCACTTTTTTTTTTTGAAATTTTACAATTCTTATGTCCAAACGCCCGCTTAGTATATACTCCCTCCGGTCCAAAATAAGTGATTTTTGGCCTTTTTTTATGGTTCAAAATAAGTGATTTTTCCAGATTTCAAGAATGAATTAATTATTTTTTTCCTACATTGCCCTTGAAATAAATAGTGTTGGAGTAAGTGTTAGGAGTATTTATGTGAAGAGTAGTAAAGGTTAATATGGTCAATTTCATTGCTAATTTATGTTAAAAGATGGATTTCTTAATCTGTGTGAAAACAGCTAAAAAATCACTTATTTTGGACCAGAGGGAATATTTTAAATATCTTGCTTAATTAATGTGTACTAAATGACTTCTTTTAGACGTTAGGATAGAATATACTAGCACAATTTGACTTGATGATGTCAGCAGTTCAATATGACTGCTCTTTGAGATCTTGTCATATTAGTCCATACTGTCTGTTGCCTAAAAGGCTTTCTAGTGACAGACTTTGAAAATTTTGAAAATAATGATTATAATAATCTCCATAAAGGTTTCACTTTCCACAATAATTATGTTGATTCACTGTTCTAAAGATGGACAAATAAGTGAAAAATAAAGCAAAACGTCAATATTAGGGGTGTCACTGGATATTCGAAAACCGAATAAATCGATCGAATCGTACCGCACCACATCGAACCGATTTTTAGATTTTTTTTTAAAGAAATTGTAGGTTTTTATATAAATCTATAACCGCACCGATAATTAGGGTATGTTTTTTATTTTATAAAAATAAACCGAAAAAAATATCGAACCGTACCGAATAAATTTTACATGTAGAAAATATATTTTTCTAGTAAGTTATAATAATGCATTAAATTTTTCTTCGGGCCTTGGAATTATGAAAACTATTACAAGCCAACAAGTAATTAAATACAAAATACTAATTCCTAAAACCTATTATGCTACTTTTACTTAAACTAAGTTATTTCAAGTATCTTTATAAGCAAGAGACAAAGTATTCTAGCGATTATGAATAGCAAACTACAATGTATTGAATATGTTTCCTTTCATATAACTTAGATTTATCTCTATAGACTTTATTCTTGAGTCCCAGCTTGGTTAATATCTTTTTACTCGTGTGATTTATATTTTCTTTGTCTTTGTTTGGTTTCTTTTACGTTGTTGTAGAATAGTTGATGGATCTATACCCTATCTATCTTTTATTTTTTTTAATTCAACACCCTTTAAACAGTAAAAATATTTAGAGAGTTTTGCTAAGTCCTATAAAAGAATGTACTATGATATTGCATTCTACTTCTACTGGTGAATTTTATATTATATTTAAAAAAATACCAAAAATTAACTTAACCGTGCCGATACTGAAGAAAAACCGACATGATTGGACGGTTTCGAAAAGTCTAATTTTAGTTATACATAATAGAATAATCGAAAATTGGTATGGTACAAATTTTATAAAATAACCGACCGAACTGAACCATTGACACCCCTAGTCGACTCGATGTTCTTTAAGATAGAAACAAATAAGTGAAAAAATAAAGAAAAACATCCACGTCAGATTAATATTAAATTTTCATATTTTCTTGGTGCAACAAGGTGGATTCTAGGCCGGAAAAATACATACTCCCATCAATTGTTTACATCAAACTAAATAATATATAAATGACAAGTGTTTTATATTATTATTTGGTGTAAACATCATGTGAAAATAAATTTTTACTAGTTAGACAGTGTTAACAAGCACTCTCTTGTAACTTCATCAAAGTATGTGTTACTAAAGAGTTGGAATGATAACACTTAATTTTTGTATGCGTTTTGACAAAATGAGAATAAAAAGTTTATTTGGAGTTGAAATTAAAAAAAAAGATTATGAAATTAGTTGAGTAATTATTTATGAACATAAACTTCCAAGTGAAAGTTAAAGATCTATGAGATGAAGTTGAAGATATTAGTAAAACTTCAGTTTCTTAAATCTTAACTCAAAACTTCATCACTATACTTCACCTTTGCAATTACGTACCATTTCTTGTTTACGTCGAATATTTTTTTGTTTTGGAATACTTTTCGCTATTAACAAAGCGGAAAAGGGCAGCCCGATGCACAAGGTATCTCGTGTTCATGCTAGGTTTGTAAAAGGGTCACATCCCATGGCTCGAATCCGTGACCTATAGGTCACAAGTTCACGCAAGGTTCGGGAAGGACCACACCCCATGATTCGAACCCGTTACCTATAGGTCGTAGATAACTTTACCATTGCTCCAAGGTTCCCCTCTTATTAACACGACGGAAAGAACCAAAAAAAAAAAAAAAAGAGGAACAAAAAAGGAAAAACGAAAGCTGAAATGAAACAAAGAGAAAGATCAAATAGAGAACCTGTTCCAACTTGATGAAGAGTTTCAGGAACTTCAACTTCTAAAGCCACCATATTATCATCATTAAACCTCTGTGAACGTGATGGAGTAGAAATAATTGCTACCTCGTCCCTGTATTTATCTTCTCCCATTTTTCACACTGATATCAATTTCTTTGAACAGCTAATTTTTCAATGAAAAAACTCAAAATTACAGTTCAGCATCCAGTTCTAATTTGGATATGAATGTGAGGAGGACAAAGCAGAATGGCATGAGTGATACCTTTTGCACGTAAAACACAATGAAATGAGCTAAGCATTTATCGTATGAATTGATCTATAATTATTGGTGGTTGGATGGGGGAGTCGACAAATTGATCTATAAATATATACTACCGCTGCCCATCTTGCACAGCTTGGATTTCGACAGTCAATTTTTTTTTTTAAAATTTTGATTGTGAATTCGAAAATAAAAATTTTAAGTTTTTTTTTTAAAAATAAAATTTATATATTTGAAAACTATGTAAAAAGTACCTTGGAACAACAATAAGGTGTCTCTGTATAACCTATAGGTCACAGGTTCGAATTCTAGAAGTTGCTACTAATGCTTGCATTAGGGTAAGCTGTCTACATCACACTACTTGTGCGGTCCTTCCCATGAACCTGCGTGAACGCGAGATGCCTTGTGCACCGAGCTACCCTTTTATGTAAAAAGTGCTACATTCAGAAGTGGATGAAATGTATTAGTAACGGGTTCATCTGAACTCAACGCAGAATATAAATTTATGCATAAAAATCTACCAAAATTGCCATAAATTATAGATATGAACTGATAGCTTTAAAAATTGACCTCATAAAACTTAAATCTTGGATCCACCTTTGATTACATTATCAATCTATTTCGGTATAACCACCAGCTGCTAGGGGTGTACAAACCAAACCGGAAAACTGCACCAAACCGAAAAGTCAAACCAAACCGATTAAAAAATCCGATTAGGTTTGGTTTGGTATTGAGTAAAAAATCCAAACCAAACCGGCATATAAATATATAATTTTTATATTTACTTTTAAGACTTTTTATAAAATTTTCGTTAAAAAATGTCTAGAAATATTTGTGGTTCTCTTATGGGATGTAATATTTAGTTAAATATGAAGTGCTCCATAGTTATTAACTTTAAATAATGGGTTGTATTATCACTTGCTTAATTATCAAGTGTTAGTGAAATGTGTCAATCTCTTTGTTCATCCATATTCATATATCAAGATCTATTAAATTCTTATATCTTTTTTGAATTTGAAATGGTATTTCGATAATCTAAAATTAAATAGAATAGATCATTATATGGGTTCATATTTATTTTTATGTTTAATTTAATCCGATTAACCTTGAAAGTGTACATCAACGTAAAATTTTTGTTAGACGACAAAAAAATAACTATCATGTGTTACTAAAAAAATTCTTCCATAAGAATATTTTAATAGATGATATATTTGTCAGTTTTTTCAATTTTTACTAAATATATTTTTACTTATAAAAAATTTAACAAAGTAAGATTGAAATAATATTCATATCACGACAAAATCCGACAAAACCGAACCAATCCAAACCGATATAGTTGGTTTGATTTGGTTTGATTTTGATAAAAACCGAACCAACCCGGTTCATGTATGCCCCTACCAGCTGCTACTCGAAATCCACTGATCCGACTAATCTAAATTGGAAAATTTTCTAGGTGCCCTAATTACTCCGTCTAACGATAGAACACGACTTTCAAAAACTAGCAATTATTTTGTAACAATAGTATAATACATATACCTCCAACAAATTCTATAAAATTAGGGATTTTTCGAGATATTCCTTTCTTATTTTTCTCCATATATATATCCTTTTTCTTCCTGTCTTCTCTTTCCACAAACCCTAGCCTAATACTTGCAGACCCAGCTTTACAAATTATAGTCAAGCCCTACGATTCCTGAAATAAAATCTAAATAATCTCTATTGGTCACATGGAAAATGGTAAATAAGACAACAATGGTGTATTAATAATTATAAGAAGATACATTTTAAAAATTCCACGTGCAGATTAATGCACAAATATGAGATTAATGCCAATAGATTAGCATTAGAATAAAAGTAGATAATGCCAAGATGCTTAGACTCTTGAATTAATGTCTGTCGATTTCCCAAAACAAATATTTATTCTTGATTTGCTGCTGCAAGTGTTTTAACTTATTTTGTTCTCTGGGTACGTGCCCATGTGGCTCCGAAACAGATCAGAACCAAGAAAAAAAACAAAAATATGAAGGAATTATATAAGGTTTCTCCTATTTTTTACTAATAAACTTCAATCAAATTATTAGTTATCATTGTATAAGTTATTTCAATAAATAATTTATGTTGAATAAAAACAATCTTGCAAATATAATTATTTTGGAGTTGAGACATAAATTAATTTGTGTTTGAGCTCATTTTAAAATTTAAAATGTTGCAATAATAAACTTATTTTTTTGTTTTAACAGCTTTGAGGGCATTTCAATCATTTTAATAGAAAAAATATTTTTCAGCATTTTTACTAAACACATCATGTGCATTTCTATTTGAAATACGTAACTGTTTATGTATAAAACTAGCTTATAAGTGAGTTAAAAATATTTTTAGTCATCCAAACACTTGATATTTTACCTGAATTAAATGTCTATACCCTCTTGAAGCCATCCTAAAGATAACTATATGTGAAAAGTTAATACTTTGAGATAACTAATTAAGTCGTCCTAAAGATAACTTTATCTAAAAGATTAAATTATTTTTAAATATGAAAATGTTACACTCTTTTGTGTACAAACTAAAAACAACGGAATTAAATGTAATATCTCAAATCTCAACAAATTCAACGGTATTGCAAAGACAAACATCAGAGGGAAGTTTTTGGAGTTTTTAATCTTTAAATTACACAAATAGTTAACAAAGGATGAGTACAGTAAAACACAATCTTTCAAACCAAGAATAATTATAAAAAAAATTGAAACAACAATAATATAAAGCCTTAGTAAGTGAAACATATTATTCAACATATATTTAAATATATAACAGCAATCAGAGTTAAAAAAAAAAAAAACAGTCTGGTGCATTAAGCTCCCGCTGTGCGCGGTCCGGAGTAGGATCGGACCACAAGGATCTATTGTACGTAGCTTTACTCTACATTTCTGCAAGATGCTGTTTTCACGGGTTGAACCCGTGATCTACTGATCACATAACATCAATCAATGAGATTTTAATTTTGACATGGTTGTCATAAATGGCGGTGGGATATGTGTCACGAAGCTTCAGCTATGGCGGTGAGAGGAGATGAAATGAGAGGAAGAAGAAGAAAGCAGTTACTTCATAGAACAGGAATGATCACTGTTGTATTAATATGAGTATCTAAGCTACTATTTATACAAGTGTCGGTTATAACTAACTCAACTACTAACTATAGTATAGTATAATACTAACTACTCTACTAACTGTAGTCTAGTTAAATAGGTGGGGCCTATATCTCTCAATACTCCCCCTCAAGTTGAGGGATGAAATACATTCTTCATTCCCAGCTTGCTTAGTAAGTAGTCATGCTGTGGTTTGCACAAAGCCTTTGTCAGCACATCTGCTATCTTTCTGTTGTACCAACATGCTGAGTTTGAATAAGACCTTGTACTAGCTTTTCTCTTACAAAATGACAGTCAATATCTATGTGTTTAATCCGTTCATGAAATATTGGATGTGCAGCAATTTGGATTGCTGCCTTACTGTCACAGTGTAGCGGCACAGGCAGAGCAATATCTACTCATAACTCCTTGAGAAGTCCAACCAACCACACAATTTCAGCTACTGTGGTTGCCATGCTTATGAACCCTCCTCAACTGAACTTCTAGATACTGTCCCTTGTTTCTTTGACTTCCAGGAAATCAGTGCTTCTCCAAATTTAACTACATACCCAGTGACTGACCCCTTAGACTCATCACATGCCCCCAATCTGAATCACAATAGGCTATTAGTTTATTGCAGCTTTCAGTTGGCATGAACAGACCAATTCCAGGTGTAGACTTGATGTAGTTCACTACTCTTCTAGCAACTTCCATGTGAGAAGTCTTAGGTGCATGCATATACTGGCTGAGTACCTGAACAACAAAGGCTATATCTGGCCTTGTCATTGTTAGGTACAGGAGCCTCCCAACTAGTCTTTGATAATTTCCCTTCTCTTCAAGTTGTACATCTTCAGAGTCACTGTCTTTTACTATTTGATCAAATTCAACAGAGGTGATTTCTGATTAAGCTCAAGAGGTGTAGGGGCTGGTTTTCCTCCTGCTAAGCCAAGTTCATATACCAATTCTATGGCATATTTCCTTTGACACATTAGAATACCTTCCTGAGACCTTGAGAACTCAATGCCAAGGAAATACTTTAGCTCCCCTAGATCTTTCATTTTGAACTTCTCCTGCAAATCTTTTCTGACCTGCTGGATGAGAAGTAAGTTGCTGCCAGTTACCAACAAATCATCCACATAAACTAGGATGACTACAAGATCAACTCCTATTCTTTTGGTGAACAGGGAATAATCATAGTGGCCTTGAGCAAAGTCCATGTCTAGAAGTGCCTCTATTAGCTTAAGATTCCACTGCCTAGGTGCTTGCTTCAATCCATACAAAGACTTATGTAGCTTACACACCTTTTGATTCTCCCCCTGGCTTAAAAAGCCATCAGGAACTTGCATGTAGACTTCTTCTAGAAGTTCACCCTGAAGGAATGCATTATGAACATCCATATAAAAAATGTACCAGCTAGATGCAGTAGTTAATGCAACTACAACCCTCACTGTGACCATCTTGGCCACAGGAGAGAATGTTTCTGTATAATACAGGCCTTGTTGTTGACTGTAGCCTTTGGCTACCAGTCTAATCTTATATCTTCCCACTTCACCATTAGACTTATACTTAACCTTGAAGACCCACTGGCATCCTATAGGAACTTTCCCTTGAGGCAGATCAACCAAGGACCATGTGTTATTGTCTTGCAATGCTGAATTCTCAGCTTGCATAGCTTCAATCCATTTTGGATCAGCACTTGCTTCTTTGAATGTTCTAGGTTCAACAATAGCTGAATATGCAGCAAGATAAGCCCTGTAGTATGAAGACAGTTGATTGTAAGAGACATGTTGTGATACAGGATAATGACAAGTGGTTTTCTTGGGCTGGAGTACATAATCAATTAGCCATATAGGAGGTTTAGAAGGCCTAGGTGCAGAATTAGTACCATAGAGAGGACTAGAAGAAGAAGGCACTTGCTGAACACCAGGAGTAGGCAAATCTGAG